TGCTGCCTATATTCAGTCACAGAATTCTTGACAAATATTAGATTGAATGCACATATTAAGTAGATTTTATCTAACACCATTTTCATTTTTTAATTGATCAGACCATGCATATTAAGTACATGGAGATCAGAGATGCCTCTCATCAAATAGAGAACATTGTGAAACATCCATCAACAGTAATAAAGATATTTATCATCATTAATAATTATGTAATTAAGACATTTAATGTCATTTTAATTAACATTTTAAGAGTTATTTCTTAAATTACGGAAAAATTTTAAATCAATTAAATTTCTATAAAACTTAAAATTTCATATTTAGGGAAATAATTAAGTCACTAAATTATTAATTAAAGTTTAAAGTAAATTAATTGTATACAATACTTTCATATAAAAATTTAAATTTCACATATACAAGAAATTCTAGTTAGTTCAAACTTGGATAGTTCAAAATCCCATTAGTTCATAACCATACTTTTGTCCTGGCTGGGGATATATAGATTTACACATTAAGAAATTCAGTTAGTTCAAAATATGGCTACTGCAAAATCAAAGTGAAAATTCTGTCTAAATTGTCATACGAGTATGTTAACTCATTTGTTTAGACTAAAGTGCCTCCATGCAATAAGCGGGCTCCTACTCAAATTTTTGTTTTAATTTCCATGACTTTCCCTGACCGTCACATTCCTTACAAACTAAAACAGCATTTGACTTCCTAAGCATATATGTTTTGCTTCTCCAATGATTTAATTATTTATTTTTTCTAATTAACAGTTATATATATTTTATAATTGCCAAGTTATTAAAATTAAAAATAAAATGTTTTATTAAAATTCTGTTATTAATCCACCATCATAAATCAAAAAAAAAGAAAAAAATTATTTTTTATTATTCATTAACAAATTCTATATAATTTATGTACAAAAGTATATATTTGTTAAATTTATCTCTTAATAAATTACCTGAACTTTATAAAATTTAATAAACTGAAAAAAAATCAGAAATTGTTTTGTTACGCAATCAAAATTATTAAAATGAAAAATGATAAATAATACCATTTAAATTATTTATCATTTTGTGTACTTTGTAAATTTCTGAGAAAATTTTTCAGGATTATAAGATTGGGCTACCAGTAGTAAATTGAAATATTTGTAGGATCTAGGCTACTGCAATTGGGCAACTTTAAAAATAATTTGGGCTCTATTTTGAGGAATTCTGCTTTAGTTTATATAATATCTATCTGGCAACCTGTGAGATTCTCCTGGACACATGTTATTTATACACAGTTTATTCATATTATTATTATTATTAATCAATTACTAATTAATGAAAATAGCATTCTGTATATGTAATATATGTAACTGTATTCTGTTTTCTTAATGAATCACATCAATTGCATGGCATTTGGCATATTCTACAGAAATACTGTATGTAAATCTCGAATAATTCGAAACTGAATAATTCAAAGCCACAATTATTTCATCCCTTGAATTTCGAACTAACAAGGATTTCCTGTATTTTTATTATTTGTTGAATGTTGTAGTAATAAATCTAAACATTTTTATTAATTTTTTACTTACCGCTTATTTGATGAGTTTCTGTTTTAATTGATTAATATTATAAATTAGTAAGCTATATAATTTTTTAAACGTTTTTCTTTTTATCTGCTGTATTAAATTTAGTAAAATTATAACTTTAAGGTCAAATTTATGCTGCATTGAATTTACCAAAATATGTTAGGGCAAGCAATATTAGCATTGAAAATTAATTAGATTTAATAATAGTATTACAAAAGTGAAGAAATCAATCCACAAACTTAATTCACCATAATAGTACAGAGGTCATTCAAAAATTAGCAACACTGGTTGTTTAAATGCATTATTTTTAAAATTTTCACTGGCTAAGAATTTATTCAATGCCCAAAATATTATCAATTTAGGTTAACTGCAAATATTTTGATATATCACCAAAAGGAATCCAATATATGTATATTTTTTCTCTTTGATGTGACAAAATAATAGTTTATGTAAGTTTATTTCATCTTCAATGAAATTCCTTATACACATTACTGCTAATATTTTTTGTTTCATAAAAATTACTGATTGAATATAAACTTATGCATATTTAATTATGCACATTCTCAAAATCTTTCAATTAAACAATTTACACAGACCAGTCAATGCAATGCACATGAAAATTCCTGAGGAGATAATTATTTAAAATTTACTGTGTATGCAAGTGATATATTTTCACCATTTTGTAACAGGAAAAGTTCAGCATAATTTCAGAAATGTTTCATTGCAGTGACAAATACAAATGGAAACAAACACAATGTACAATAAATCCAAATGTTAAATACAGTCTGTTAAAAAATTATGAATTGAAGCTGCAATTTTTAATTTATTTAATTTAAAATATATTCTTCCCATCTCAAATTAGTAGTCTTGCCCCTGTACATCATACTTTTCCTTTAACAATAGAGTTGTGCCGGTCATCTATCTAACATGTTTTGGGAAAAAATTTTTTAATTAAAATAATGTGACTTCTGGTTTGTATCAGAAATTCATATATAGTTAATCGGAACCTTCTGACCCAAGGTTTCCATATCTGGTCTCGTCTTTCATCTATCTATGTTCTCGAAATTAAAGAAAGACAGATGAATAGAGAGACAGATGACAGTGGGAATTTATAGGTCTACAATTTTTTCAAATTGCAACCCAATCACATTTGAACAATTAATTCAACAATCTTACCACATTTTAGTTATTAGTTTTACAAAAGTCAAATTTTTACCATTAATAAATTACAATACCACCATGAAAACAAAGATTGAGAAATAACTTTATTGTTGATTAATAGTTGATTGTTGCTCCATTTCTTCATATAACTTCAAATAGCCTGTTTGGCATTGATTCTACCAATTTTTGCAGTAGATAATTGACAACATTATCCCATTGGCACATAATTTCACATTCAAGTTCTTGAACACTTGAAAATTGGCAATTGTTTGCATATACTTTCTGACTTAAAATTCCCAAATGTTTTAAATGGGATTTAAGTCAGGACTTCTTGATGGTCAAGGTAAAACATTAATTTATTAGCCTTAAGTAAGTCTTGCATTATCTTGTTGGTAGTACCATTTTCTTCCTCTAAAATGTGATCTAAATGGGAGCAAATGTTTTTCCAATAACACCTGATAATTTTCAAATTTTAATTTAATTTTAACAAGAACGAGTTTAGCATCATAACAGAATGTTCCCCAAACCATGGCAGAGCCTCCACCCATTTGTCTACTAAAAGTTTCTTAGGTGCATTGTGCAAATCATGCCAATATGCATTATTCCAATCTGGATCATCAATACTGAACATCTTTTAGTCTGAAAACACTGCACTGTTACCAGGATATACAGTTCTTGATCCATTCTAATCTTCCTTGTTACTTACTCTTCAGTTTTGTGTAAGTTGCATTCTTATTTTTCCTTAATGTTTTCCAAACAGTTTTATATGAAACTTTTGCCCCAACTTCACATGAAATCTCTCTTGTGAACATGTTCTGTTAAGTTGCCAGACCAAAAACATGCCTGTAATTCCATGAAGATAATGATTTTTTGACCAGATCTTTTGTTCTGTCCATAATTTTTTTTTCAATGCTGAATTATTGTTTTGGACTTATTAAGGAGACCAATTACAGTTCTTTCTGAGTAACCAGTACCAGCATAATAATAAATTTTCTAGATTTCTTCTTCTCCCAATTCACTTCTTGCTGGCATAGTGTTTAATCACAGCCACTTGAAATTAAACTTAAGAAAACTGTTAAAAAACCTTTACAATTAGTCATGTGACATCACAGAAATTTTTCATAAAGAAAGGGATTAAACCATTTTCTCATGGTGGTCTTATAATTTATTAACAGTGAAAATTTAACTTTTGTGAAACTGATAACTAAAATATGTTAAGATTCCTAAATGTTCAAAATGTGATTATTTATTGTATTTACTTTATTCAGAATTATAAATAACCATTAAACATTGTTAGTTTTGAGAAAACTAAAAAATGTAGCGGTCTTATAATTTCTTAACAGATTGTATTCCTATTGTCTATATTTCCATAATTTGATTAATCAATTAGATAACAAAATAACATATACCTAGCATCAAAGTTAGTTAAAAATAAAAATTTTATTGAACTAAATCTAATTGTCACTATTGAGCTTCTCCAATTAGGCAATATAATTTTAGCTGCTTTAATTATAAAAAGTGCACAAAATATTATTATTAGTCATAATTAATGTAAAGGAAAATAATAATTATAGAATTAGACTAACTAAAGAAAACCTTAATCATCATCAAACTTCTTAACTTACAGCAAATCCTAACTATGAAATCAACTTGCAGCTAACAAACACAAACATAACATAGCTGTTTAGGTTTAGGATTGTTTCTTATTTCAAAAATGATAATAATATTAATAGTTATAAAAATTAACAATAACTTATTATTATTATTGTAAATGATTACAATAAATAGGAAATTATTGATAATTTATGAAATTTGACTTCCATTTAACATCTCTTTAATATGGTAAATTAGAAACTAAGATGAGATATATAGAGATAGCAGTCAAGGAACATGAAATCAATCCTGAGAAGTTAATATAATGGGAATAATAATTAATTATTATAAGTAACTAAATATAATTATAAATTCTCTTTTAAAATCTCATAATTATAATAATCTTTAGTGAAAATACTAAGTTACTGTCATTTATTTTATCTATTATAATAATTTAGAAAAAATATTTTACTATCAAATTTGATCACAAATAAGAACTCTGATTAAAAGATATTTTTAATTTTCATTTAACATCTACATTTTAATGAAAATTTGAAAAGTCAAAAATGAAATTTTAAAATGATCATGTAATGCAAATTCATATTTATTCTATGTATTATAAATACTAAACTCAAAAATTCTATATCAAAATTTTGTGAATTGTGAATAATACAAAATATAACAGCATGCTCACCAAACTACTTAGTAAATATCTATGATCAAACCATTTATTAATGATCTCACAGTTATGATATGAACTTTATCAATTACTATGATTAGTCAATCAACTCTAATTTGTGTTAACTATTCCTTCTCTCAATTCAAAATACATAAATCATTTGACAGTCATGCAGAGCATATCCAGCAATTTTCTGCATTGCTATCATATCTTCTGTCCTTATAATAATTTGGATTTTGGTGAAGCAGTCTATATTTGCTAATATGCTTTTAGAGTTATTATATGGTATTTAGTAATTTATATGATTAAGTGATGTTTAAACTTCATTCACTTCTATATACATGTTAGCAAAAGTTGTTTATTACAGAGTATGCATTCATCAAATCACTGATAAGCTGCTTAGTTCCAGTGCTGCTAATAATTTTTAAACAACCTAAGTATATTATATTAAATTTAAGTCAGGTTAAAAATATTTAAACAGCATTAATTTTAGAAATATGTATTTTAGCAATTAATATGCTTTAAATTAAATTTCTCTTGGTATTCTTTTCAACTAAACTACTGTTTTCAACATGCTCCTGAAACATCAAATGACAAATAAAAAATAAATAAAAGAAAAATTTTAGAAACAAAAATATTTTTAATATTAAATATTCAATTACAAATTATTACTGAAGAAACAATTTCTTACCAGCTATAACACCAGCCATATACACAAGACCAACACGCCACCATTTATGCACCATTTCTAAAGGAATTCCAAGTATTATTTGGACAAGAAGATTGAAAAATATATGGACCGCTCTGTAATTTATTTAAATTTTAATTTAAAAAATAAATTGGATTGATACTTCTTTGATTTTTAAAGTATTTAGTGTGTTAATATATTAATAAACTGCAAAGCATTTAATACTTTGTTTTTTAATTAAACTTTTCAACAACTTAAAATAAAGCTTCTGAAAGTCAGCGAAATTGTTAGTTCATAAAGTTTTCATTAGTCTATAATAAAGTCTCATAATCTATAATAATTGTTATCAAGTTGTATGATCAAGTATTATTTAGCATTTCATTCTATGAAAAATGCAATGCAGGAAACTTTAACCCAATATTTTAATAACAAAATTAAAAGTAATTTTAGTGTCAAAAATAAATCTTTGAAAAGACAAGTAGCAGAACAATTATTTTATAAATATTTTTATATAATATGAAACAGTGGTATTTTTCAATTAAACAAATGTTCTATTGCATTAAGACAGAGAAGCAATGCCATGTAGACAAATTTAATATATTTTTGAATTATTTTTCATATATGTATATTAGAATGTTAGGTAATAAAGCATTGGAAATATAATATGAAAAAATTTGACAAATGACTGTTAAGTTTGATATAAAAATGCCAAATAAAAAAATAGATTCAAATTTTCTTTACTCAATTATGAAAATTAGCAAATACTGTACAATATTTATATAACAATTTTACTTTTACTCATTTTTAAGCTAATCTAAACGTAGACACAGTTATGTTTATTTAAAATTACATTCATTTAAAGACAATTTTGTAAGAGTGTCTAGAAAGTGATAACACATTTTCTTCTCAACATCATTTTATTAAAAAGTAAAGATTTTTGTCAGTTAAAATACATATAAAAAAATCTATATTCAACTATATAAATGTAAGTTATTAATATAAGATAAACATATAATTAGTCTAATTAAACAAATAAAGATATACAAAAATATAAAAAACAAAATAAAAAAATAAGGTAATAGAAAAAAAGTTAAAATTTTGTTTTATCAATAATGAAATAATTTTTTATATGAAAATGTTCCTGAAAAAAACCTGTTTTTTAATTATTTTCAAAAATTTATATAAATTTTGTAACATTTCTTTTATCGGAAAATATTGAACTTTTTATTAAACAAGAAAGTTTTTTTTTATATTTTTGCATTTATTAATTCTAATGTATGCAAAAATTGCAATTAACAACAACATACCCAGCATGAATTAGCATATATGTTAAAAATCTCCAAGCTTCATATCTGCGATATGGATTATATATAAGATGACTATCAATAGGAACAGGCCCGGTTGCACTGAACTCATCCAACTTGACGCAATAGTAAATGTAAACAGCAAGCTAAAATGTTAAAATGCAAATTAATAAAAAAATATATACTTTTAATATTTATTCTTAAAATGCAATCATAATACAAAAGTAACTTATTTACATTAGAATGTACAGTACAGTATGCATAATCAATTGAAAAAGTGTATTTATAAGAATCAAATTTTCTTTTGATAGAACTCCAAATACATAGGCTGTTTTTTTTTTAACCTCTGATGGTCCATAAAACAAAGACAAGTGTAAATAACAAAACGAATTTATTACCAAAAGTTAGGTACAAACATTGACTTTTTGACATAATTACCATGAAGACTGATGCATTTGTCGATCTGTAGACGATCTTTGAAAGAGGAAGAAGTCTCTTGGCACTAAATCAGGGCTATATGCTGAGTGTTTAAAAAGTTGAGCTAAGTGGAAGTCTCAAAGGTGAGTCTTCACACCTTTAATGTGTGAAGACTTCCACCTCTTTCCTGAACTGAAAACTTGGTTAGCAGGGGTGAGGTTTGAAGACTAATGACAATATTCAAAACAATGTTAAGATCCATCTCAATCACTGACAGCAGCATTCTACGAAGAGGGGATTTCAAATATTGTCCACAGATAGACAAATGCCTCAATCTTCATGATGATTAAGTTGAAAAGTAACCATGTTTGTACCTAACTTATGGTAATAAATTCATTTTGTTATTTACACTTGTCTTTGTTTTACGGACCATCGAAAGTTGAAAAAAAAACCACCCTTGTATATTTTTATTTTATTTGTATTATGACTTTATTATTGTTATAATTCTATTATAATTTAATTTTACTATCAATTTAAATTCACCCTTTCTTTTATTTTAATTATATTCTATGTGATGACTGTTACAGATATAATAGAAGTTTTACACTTCATATTTTTTGTTTATGTAACAAAACTCATGAATTACAATGCTGATACCATCTCTTTAAATTAGAAAATATTAAAGATGAGAAGTTTTTGTATATTTTTTCACATATCTGATATAAGACAATATTTAATTTGTATAATTATTTTCAAAAATTTGTTATATAAGACTACTATAATCTTATTTTGTTCTTATGTTTATAAATTGTGTGCAGAAGTGTAATGATGTAATAATACTGTTATAAAATTAACATTTGTTATAAATTTTTGTATCTTAACACCATGTACAGAAAATTGATCCTTTTAGAATTAAGTTTATTAAATTGAAAATATTCTACATCATTCTGTTCTACAGAGTTTTGAGTGTGATTTTAAATGCTAATAATTGTCATATAATTGATTGAAAACATTTTATTTATTAAAATTTTTGATTTATTGAACTAAAATCTGTTTTCTATTTTATTATGGAGCTTATGACTAACTGCCTAACTTTCAAGCATTTTTAAACTTTTTTGAATCAGAGACAGAAATTATAAAAGAAATCTCATAAACACTAGATACAGAACTATCTGTTTTTACAAAAATTTTTAATTCAGTTTCACTAATCAATGCATAGCCTAAATAAATTTCAAAAAATTTAGTATTTAGTTATTTTGTTATCTAAAATTAGATTTATTATTAATTAAATGCTAAGTAATTTGGCACTAGAGNATCTACTTTTAATTATAGCCATAACTAATAGGCTAATGTTTAATGTATAGATTTATCATATTTTTCAGTTTTGATTTTTTACATTTTTGTGAATTTTACAATTTATAGATAAAATTTTTTTTAATATTTTAAATTTCAAAATTTGAATGTACAGTATTATAACAATTTAATTAGAATATTTGGTATTGTATTGTTTGAGGAAAGCTATTTTGCTTTCTGTCTTTATATTATTTGTATTAAAATGTCATATTAGAACAACTGTAATCAGAAAGATAATACATTTTAATATACAGAAAAAATTAGTAAATTAATTATGAATTATAATTCTTATATTTATTCTTACAGGCCATTTCATAAATTTTATATATTTTAAAATATATCTATGCATAGCAATGCCTCAAATAACATTTAATTTATATTACATAGAACTTATCTCTCAAAGTAATGCAAAATACAGTAGTACCTTGTACATCAAATGACACTAACTTTGAATGCTTCAGAATTCAAATGCTAAATTTGACGAAAATCGGTCTCAAAGTCTGAACAATGCTTCAAAGTTCAAACTGTGCACACAGTGGAAAAAAAGATGCCCTTGAAGTCTAAATGCCATCTGTTGTGTGCCCAAGTTGTCTCTCACTCTTATGTTATGCTCTTAACTTTTCAGTACTTTTTCACTTTATTTTTGGTGCGTTTGGTTATATAAATATATTGCTTGTTATTTCTCAATTTTTAATAATTTCTTCCTGCTATATTTTCCATCTCTTAGTTTAAAATTTCCTAAAAACTTTTTAAACAACATGTGACATACATATATATAGAAAATATATTTCTTCTTGACTATACATACATAGATGAGTCTTTGTCTACTTTCTGTCCTTTCACATGCTGTACAAGGCAATAACAATTCCACCAGCGAAGTCGACCTTTCTATGTAGGCTACCGTTCGCCGTAAAATGTAAAACAGTTAAAACATCCTCTAGCAGTGGCATAACAAATTAATAATTACATTTGATAAAAAATAAAAAATTGCCAGGACAAATTATGACATTTATATAGAAAATATATTTCGTCTTGACTATACATACATAGATGAGTCTTTGTCTACTTTCTGTCCTTTCACACGCTGTACGAGGCAATAACAATTCCACCGGCAAAGGCGAACGGTAGCCTACATAGAAAGGTCGACTTCGCCGGTGGAATTGTTATTGCCTTGTACAGCGTGTGAAAGGACAGAAAGTAGACAAAGACTCATCTATGTATGTATAGTCAAGACGAAATATATTTTCTATATATATGTCATAATTTGTCCTGGCAATTTTTTATTTTTTATCACATGTGACATGTTCAAAGTTTCTTCCCCATAGACATTGCAATTCTTTTTTACCATTTATGCAATGTTACATCCTTTTTAAAACTCATATTATACCTGATATGCTTTTTATCTGAGGACATTTAAACTTGATTTTATTCAAACAAAATGTGAAGTTTAAAATAAGCTTCTAAACAAAGAATACAATCTCACATTAGCAATAGTGTATTAAATTCAGAACTGTTATAATTAAATCACACAGCTAGGATAAGTAATGACAGCTGTTAAAAAATACCCAAAAACTTTCTGTTCAATCCAATATAACATTTACTTATTAACCATGGCATCCAAGAACTGTGTGATAGTAATTTTCATTTTATTATATTTTATTTCATTTTTTATGTTTTAATTTATTATTAAAGCATTTAATTGTTATTTTTACCTTAAATTATGTGTATTTGCTATTTTAAGTTTATTGAAATGAGTATTGTTTAAGGTCTGGGAATGGATTAATTCACTTTCCATTGTTTCTAATGTGAAAAACCGATTCAGACTTCAAGTGATTCAAAGTTCAAACAGCCTCCTGGAGTAAATTAAATTCAAAGTATAAGGTACCACTGTATTTTAATAAGAGTGCTTAAATTTTGTTTTGAACTATTTTGGATTTAATTTTTTAATTATAGTATTTTTTCTTTTTTAAAAACTGTAATCTTACCTCTATAACACTAACTAACAGTAAAAATATAGGTGGAGGCATACAGTCATAATGTTCAATATAATGTCTCACAACAATGGCTCTGTGACTCTTTGGTATAACAGCCAGTGCAGCATAACGTACTAAACGATGAAATCTTGGTCTCGCAGCACCTAAATCAGCTGCATGCATCTTTATTTTAAAAAAAGTTTAAATCAATCACTTATTTAAAACATGACATAAATTTTTAATATAAAATTAAAGATTACAACAACCAAAAGTAAACACAACGTAACTCACCATATGTTCAAATTCAGAATAAGATAAATAGTTATCTTTATTTAAATCAGCCCATTCTAGAATCTCTTTTATTACTTCAGGAGGTAAATCCTTACTAATATCAGCTTCTGTTGTTAATAAATTTTTCAATTCTTGTAATGGAATTTTCCCATCATTATCTGTATCATACTGAACAACAAAATATGCTTTTATCACAATGAATACTAAAATTAATTTAATAAAAACTGTATAATAATATCTATGAGTAAATTTATAAATATTTTAATGCAAGTTAACACTTCCGTGCTTTATATATACACACATATATATATAATCAAATATTTTAAAATTGACCATTTTGAGAATAGAAACTTCTGGTATAGGAAACCAAAGCATAAAAAAAAAAAAATCTGATTTGGAGCATAACTTAAAATTGAAAATTTCAGAACTAAATTACTTTATTTACATGAAATAAGTATAAGAAACTAATATAAATAACACATATTTGCATAGCATCTTTGTTTCAAATACGGGCTTCTTATTTAACTATTTAACTTGCTTGATAATAATTTATGTATATTTTTATTACAACAAACTTTCATTTAACAAACATTTAACAAACATTTTTGGGATTCCTTCAAGTTCATTACAACAGGATTCCATTGTTTGTATGTATTTTTTATGTCTTAATATTAATTCTTACTTTGTTACTGTGATTGATTTCAAAGAGTCTGAAATATCAGTATAGGCTCTGTTGCGGATTGTATCTTTACTGAAGAGACAAGAATTCTGATCCAAAATGCATTTAAATAAAATATCTGAGAATTAATTAATTGCTTTCTGAGTAATTCTTGAACTCTGATGAGTGTTGGATTCAAAGGACATAACATTTAGGTTTATTCCTCCAAAAAACCCCTTTTAAGTGGTTATAAAAGTGACTGATTATATCTGGCAAATATTACTAATTTTAGCTTTGTATTAAATATTAATTTTGTTGAAGCTTTATATCGAGATAAATGGTTTAAAATGGCTTAATTCATTTAAAGTGGTTAACAATATTCAATTTTTGATGTAATAAAAAATTTCCAATTTACTGTGTTGTAAACCTTCAGATAATATGTAATTTGTCAAAAATACTTGAAAAAGACATATTTTACTCTTTTTTTTTTTTAGTGTATGAAAGGAAAGGACTAACTAAGAAAAACATGTTTTATTTAGAAAGACAATTCACTTCACAAATTTGAAAATCCTAACAATTTAAAATTTACATTAATCCTTAAGAACTTAAGTGATAAAAATAAAATGTCATTATAAAAATAATACATTAACAAGAAATGATATCTTCAAAATGTAAAAGATTTGTATGGTAAATTTCTAGAGACAAGAAATAACCATAGCAAGTGTCCATTCACAACTTTGAAAGACTATACAACCTTTAAACAATACTAACAAAAATCTAAATATATAGACCATGCATTTGTACAAATTTTAAAAAATATATTAGAATTCATTAACCTTCAATAATAAATTTTGCAAGTCACATCCTTTAATATTGTCATAAATGTGACTTGCAAAACTTATAAAGAACTATTTAATTTTCATTTTTATACTGCTATTATTGCCCACATACTGTTTACATTTTAAAATATAAAATATTTTCCAAACAATACTATTGTTTGGAAAATATTGAAACACTTGTTGAATAAAATTGAATACAATTGAAACAAACAATTTTCATATAATAATATCAAGGTTTTAAATAAATTTGAAAACTTGCATATATACGGTTCATTGAGATAATCTAAATGTTAAGAACTGTTTAATTATACCATAAAGAAGCATAATAATGAATAGCGAACATCACTTTAATAAAATGTCTAGTAGATAAAAAATTAAAAGCGTTTAAAGAAGAGATATGATAATTACAAGAGATTACATAAATAAAAAATGTTTTTAATTGATATTAATTATATTAAGAAATATGTATATAGTGAATGCTAACAGCATTGCAAAATTAATTATTTCTACATGTTAATTATGTCATAATACTAACAATGCCATTAACCTTTGTCAGAATCAAAATAATAAATCCTTCATAAACTGTTACATTTACTTTTTTGTATTCACTTTTATTACCAGGTAAAATAGTAAAATATGTTTTATGTAAAATAAACCATCTTAAAAAAATACAGAGAAATATGCAATTCTGAAGAAGCTAATGTAAACCACTTCACATTGTCTTTATTGGATGGATTTATAAATACAGTAGAGCGTCGATTTCCGAATCAATTGGGGACTGGGGTTGTCTGGATAACTGATTTACGTACGAAAAAATAGTTTAACGTATCCAATGTCGAAATTTTTATCCGTTGCGTGTCGCTTCGCGTTGAATTTTCGTCGATGTTAAGCCTAATGAAGACTATTGTATCGTTAAAAATTATTTTTTTATTTTGTACAAACAAAATAAATATATTGAAAAATATAAAAACAATAAAAAAAATATACTGCAGAAGTTAATTTAGTATCAAAAACGTAAAATATTTGAGTAGCCCAAGACATAGCCAAAGATTGAAGCGCCACAGCACTGGTGAAAATTTAAATTTGCCGACTGGAATTCTTTCGGATGATTGACTTTCGAAAAATCGACGCTCTACTGTATTTGAAAGTATATAAGTTTGCTTAAATATTTCAAATTAGTGCATTTTTTTTCTCTCTTTAAAGAAAATAAAATTCCTCTCAAAGATTATGTAATTAGTTGAAAGGTCTTACAGATTTATTAAATGTTTCATTGCATTATACATTTTAACCATACATTTATGAATCTGAAATAAATTATGATACTAATTAATTCAAAAATTATTAATAAGCCACTAACTTTCCCTTATACAGATTATTTTCTCTTAAAATCCAATACCACAACAAATGACAGATCATTAAAAATCAAACATTTTCAGTCTATTCATAGACCATCATCAGGATACATTTCAATTCGAAAATAGAAACATTCTAAAAAAAAAAATTAGAATTTTTTCAAATTGGAGTGTATCCTGATGGTCTATAAATAGACTTAAATGTATTCAATTTCTAAAAATCTGTTACTTGTTTTGAATTTGATTTTAAGTTGAAGTGCATAAGATAACATCCTATGTTTTAATGCTTAAAAATTATTATTGGTGCTTAGCTTTTATTAATAAAAAAATATTTTAAGATAATCTAAAATAATAATAATAACTTCAATTTATTTTTAAGTTTACAATTTAATCAATAGTGAAGAGAAATTCAGTTTTTTGGCTGTTAAGAACCCTGAAAATTTCTGAATTTTTAACCCCCAATAAACTAAATTTCAGAGTGCTATTGACTTTAATACAACATATGCTTTTAATATACATCAAAGTTTATAATTTATTTGCTCTCTCAGAAAACATTGTTTTTGTATATATTTGTAAAGCATACATTTAAAATGCATACGATTTTAAATACAGTAATATAAAATTAACTTAATACACAAATATATATTTTTCAATAATACTTACTCGGTCAAACACTGGTTTCCATAACTGTAATAAAAATTTTAAAAATGTAATTACGTATAATAATTTGAAGTTTTTAAATATAATTATTTTTATAATTACTACAATATTAATTGTTAAATATGTTATTAAATCCTTATTATTTATGTATTTATAATATTAATTTATTTTATTTTTCAACTTAACAGGTTTTACTAAATTTTTAGTTGATTAAAAAAGCATAAAATTAATATTGTATTTCTTTTAAACATTACAATATGTATTATTATAGTATATTTTAGTTTAATTTTATTCAATTATTTTTTTTTCATCTAATTATAATGTTTTTAAATAAAAAATAAGGTTTGAAAAGAGTTGTATATATTTAATTAGAAATATTTTTTTCTAATATGATGTAATCAAGATGCTTTACGAATGATGTCATTTTAAAATACAATCAGATTAGATTGGAAATTTTGAAAAATATTATGAAAAATACAATGGATAAAATTAACTTTAATCTATGGATTTTATCATTTTTCACTTTCATTTCAAATACAGTAAATAAATTATTCATTTGTAATTTTAATTTTGTCAGTTTGCAAACTATATATATATATAATTCACAATCCAATATTTACATTTATTGATGTCTAAATTAATGAAAATTATTTAACTATATTAAACTAAGCAGTCATTTTACTCTTATGCTATTTTAAAGCCAAATTTAGTTATAAAATAAGCTAATTTCACACATATTATGATTCATACTTGATTACTAAACTATTTAAAATGTGAGATCCGGAATTTTTGTGACGGAAATCCCACTCTTTTATTAACAAAAACGTTAATTAAACTCTCATTTATGTAACGCCCTAGAAGGAAAACCAGGCTTGTGTAAACTTTCCGGTCATAACTAGCAACATCCATTGTTCTTTGCAGAACTTGCATCTCGTCTTGCAAGTTACAGTTAGCATCTAAATGTCGTCATTTGTTTTAGATCCCTGGAACACCTATAACCTTTAACTCATGAACATCCGATCACGTGGTGGAAATTCCCCACTAAAACCTATAAAAGACCATTCTTACCCCCTCACTGGAGAGTCTACGAACGAACGCAGGACTAACGACATCGCGCCGATCTTCCAAACCCACCGAATTCCGATCTCCAATGAACCTCGAATAAAATCATTGCAAAAGTTGCGAATCTTTTTTAAATTTGTGTTCCTGTGGATAATAGATTTGAACATTTAAGCGCCTCCCTGGAATTAAACCTATCAAGGAACTCCATAAAGAGGTATGAACGAGGGAAACTCTCTCTAGAGCATATTAGGCGGTAGAAATGCAATTTGTGTAGTCTTTGATTAATTCGCTTGTTTTAATAAATTGTTATTTTATTTGTTAAAAGGATGGTAGTCTCCTTTACTCGATCACATCCGTCACCTTATCGTCAACCCCAAATTCTCTCCATCCACTCGCCTGACAATTGAGAGTCAATTAGATGTCCTGTCAAGTGAACGGGAGCCTTACGCCCCCGTATTCACAAAAATATCAAATAAAGCTTTAGTTACTATAATATTCTAACATCAAGCATTATTAAAATCTGTTAAAACGGTATGTATGAAAAAATACCAAAATCTTCTAATGTATTTTCTTCTTTAAAAAAATATTTATTTGATATGTTTGAAGGAACCAGATTGTAAGATAGTAACCTATGTAAATGTAGTTTTGGAAAAAAATGCAGATAAAAATTCCTTTTTTTGTTTTTCCTTTAAAAGGCATAATAAGCATAAGTGTGGCATTATATGTCAGTAATAAAAATAAGGAGAAAACTAAGGAGACATTAGAACAGATTTTAATGAATAAACAAAACACATCACATATCAAAATATATGAGTAATTTTGGCAAAATGCAAGATTGCCATTATCAGGCAAATCAAACGTAGAATAAATTGTTCAAGCCAAATGATTGCCAAATTATATCGGACTATATTACTACTACTATTATTAATTAAATGCTAAGTAATTTGGCACTAGAGACAGGCATTAGGTGCTATCTCTTGCTAAATTTAATAATTATAATTAACGTTTTAATAATTAATTTAGAAAGTTTTGGAAGAAAAGAATCAGCCTGAAGCAGGACTCCTGTGCAAGCTATGCAATGCCCACAAATTAATAGATTCTGGAAGGGAGGATAAGACAAAGGTCCAAGTAGCAAAATTAGTGATGCAATCACATGGTAAGTGGGAGTTGCAGGTTTGGTTGAATTAAAATCTGTTTAAACGTTAACAAATTTTTCTCTTTATTTTTAAAAGGCATAATTACAGGAACCTCTTATGACTTTGCTTTCTCTCTACGAGTATAAATTGACACTTCTGATCTTTTCACAAGCTAGGAATTAGGCAGAGTAACATCAGTGAAGATACCTTAAAAAATGCACTTTTATGTGCACCTTTTACACTCAAACCCTTCAATTGTAAGTGACTATCTATTTCCACTTTCACTTCTAAACAAAACTTTCAATATATGAAAATAGAGAAAAATCATTTTTACCAAAATCATTCATTTTAATTTAGACAATTTAAATCAATCTTCTACTTTACATCTTAAATATTGTATGATTATATTTTAAACAATTTTTTATTAAATATAAACAAGTTAAATGTTAAAAATCATAAATTACAGGATGACTTGCTCTTTTTTCATTTATTAATAATATGTAAGATTTCAAGCATACAATCTGAAAATTAGATTCAAAAACAGAACCAATGCTTAAAATGGTAAAATTTCAATCTGAATGAGGGATTTAAAAACCCTCAAGAGTCACTGGTGCATTATAGTTTCACAGGCAAATTTGAATTAGGGCACCACATGTACAGTATAGACATTTTTCTTTGGGGAAATTTTTGGGAAAGTATTTTCTTATAAAAGCATTCATTTGGGACTCCAGGCAATTGTCCTTTTTGCCCATAGGATAACACACCAATATCAAGGTCTTTAAAGTTCCAGACATGCTAATTTTGGGGAGCTTATATCTCGGGAGGATTCACATGTAGATCATCAGTTCTCTTGACTTTTCTACTCCTACAGATATAGTCTACAGAAAGGATGGGCAACTTTTTTCTACATATGGGCCACATTTGAAAATTTTCAGCTGAAACAGGCTACACACAAGAAAAAAAATATTTTTTTTAAATGTGAGTACATCACAATTATTTACTCATATATGATTATAAACTATATAAGTATATGTAATTTGACTCCCAGAACCAATCCAAATGCAATATATGCAATATGGCCGAATAATAGTCTAGAATCTCACCTAAATGCAAAATTTCCAGCAACAAAACACCCAAATTCAGCCACTCCTTTATTGGCCTTCTTCAGGAAATGTAAAACGAAAATAACTTTTCTATTTATAGAATGGCCCAAAGAAGGCCAATAAAGGAGTGGCCAAAAATGTTCAAAAACCAAATTTGGGTGTTTCATTGCTGTAAATTTTGCATTTAGGTGAGATTCTATATATATTGTTCCAGTTTGCTTGTGCCATTGAAGTTTTTATGTTCGAATAATAGTCACAATAATCAGAATAATATGTTCGAATAGCTTTAAATTAGTTCTGACACATGTCCATTAGCCAGTTTCTCATTTTACTTTTTACTAAATAGAAAAAAGCTTTTTCTGCAGTGAATTTACACTGTGAAAAAGGCTTATTTATTCGATTAAGGCAATGCCAAGGGGGGAAGTGCCTTTCAGGAGGTCTTTTACGGGAAACCAGTCCCCATTTAGGCATTACCAATGCAAAGAAAACCTAGAAAGCACAGCCAGCCCGTCGGCAAAGCACGAATCCACAATCGCAGTGTTTAGCAGTTTTATCCACTCGACCACTGGTGGGCACAGTAAAAGCTGCTCACACGCATAAGTTTAGAAAATAACAATTGAATTTTTGCAGCATGCTTCCTTAAGGTGGGAAACTGATATATTTATTAATATTTTGTGCGACGTGAGACACACAAAATATTAATGCCTGTCGCAGTTGCCCGCACCCGGTCTATGGCTCCAATAAGATACCAAAAACCTCACTCACGAGTTGCACTTGTCATCTCGAAACACGAAATTGACAAATTCTACAGCTGTTTTTACTAGTCATGGCTTTACTGGTTTTCTCTTATTTGTTTGAATAACAAGCTAGAATATAAGCAATTGTATATATATTTACATATCAATACGAAAATTTCATTTGCTGATAAACTTATTTCGTTAATTTTATATCAAGATAACAATTAATTACCCTTTCTAATTCAATAACATCGTAATCCTTAGCTTTTCGTGAACTAGACGGCAGATATTTTAAATTCAGTTCCTGTGTCGTCGATGTCATCTTCTCTTCTACTCGTTATGTCAATATTTACGTGTAATAACAAACCGCACTGTCAAACACAAACACTCGATAACTTACTACATTACTCTGTTTACACTAAACCGGCCCAACCCTCTCACCACGCTATGGCTCGGATTGTTCGCCACCTGGTGATGATAAATTGTCATTAATCTTTAATAATTTTAATGTTTTTGTATTTTAAATTTTAAATATAAAATAATACCGTTTTAAATGTTTTAAAACCAATTTTATTGCTTCTTAAAAATAAATTGTTAAAGCAGCAAATCGGATTCGGTCCCATTCGTAACTTCTTAACACTAGTCCTGGGTTCGAGCCTCGCCGACGGTCTGGCCATATGGAGTTTTCCGGGTTTTCTTCACGTTAATAGAGAAGTTGCGGCCGACGTTTTACAACGCGAAAACGTGTACGTCGGACGTTCAGCGCCGCCTTCCTGTAAGCCTAGACGTTTGACAATGGCGTTTGGAACGTCAGTGGAATCATGCTCGACGTTCCAAACGCCATTATCAAACTTCTAGGCTTACAGGAAAGCGGCGCTGAACGTCCGACGTACACGTTTTCGCGTTGAAAACGTCGACCGCAACCTTTCATGACACCTAAATAGGAGCCAGTTTTCCATAAAAGACCTCCCGGGAGGCATTTCCCCCTCGGCAACAATACGAATAAAACAAAGACCTACTTTTATCTTAAGTGATGTATAAAGAATGTAATTCAACCATTTGTTCTTATATATATATAACTTTGTGCACAATATAGTTTCAAATTTTAGAGAATTCTAGAATCACGACATTTTTCTGCATAATTAGTTAAAGTTGGGGGTATTTAAATCAACATATCTCAACTTAGTATTTGTTTATGATCGAAAGAATGGTATCTATTCAGGAGTGTATGAGGAATTTAGAAAACCTATGTGTATCGCATTTGTTACATAAATTATTTTGTACACTGTCGTAATGTTTGAAAAAATTGAAAGTTTTAATAACTATAAAAATACAGTTGTCCCTCTATAGTCCGACGTTTTTTAATCCGACATGCTCAGTAGTCCGACGCACCTCCCGTCAAGGTACCCGTCCCCGTTACGTGTCTGCTTGCACAGAAGCATGTCGCGATGTGAATCTCCCCATCCAATTTTTACACAATGACACACATTTCGTGTGTTTTATGTGAGCAGTTCTGTTCGAACAGTTGGAGTAGAGAATATTGTAAGTTACTGCTAGCAAAACAATGCGAAATATGTAATTATTTTCGGTAATCCGGACACTTTTGGTAATCTGACACACCTTTGGTCCCATACCTATCGGATTATCAAGGGACAACTGTATTCCTAAATTATTCTCTAAGAACAATAGAGGCATCTTTTGTTTATATTTTAAATTTTTTCCGCCCTGTGAGCACTAAGAGAGCCTCTTTTAGCAAGTTCATTATGGGTTTGGATAGGCCCACAATGGGTCCGTCCGGATATGTCAGGCCGGGTGATGAGGGATGGGGCCCGACATATCCGGACGGAGCCACAGGAGGTACGGTTCCTTTGACTTTTTTATTCCTATCAATATGCTCTACAGCTCTGTTAAAGTCCCAATCGTGTCATACGGATCTAGATTTCTACCTATTAAACATTCTATAAATACTTTAAAATAGTTTAATTTGTTTATTTACCTTCACTTGTAAACCTCGATTTTAAATGTATCCGCCATTTTTTCAACAAATTTCCCGTGAGTCAATGCGCGACGTTCACTAAATCACGGGATGTTGTAAACGTGCGGCGCAAGGTTAAGGCATATAATAAGGCAAGGCAACGCATATAATAATTATTTATACCATTCCGTGGTATAAATAATAAATTCCTATTACAAATAAGAATAATTTATTGTTAATTTAAAATCATCGCTAGGGCGCCTCTAGTGCCCGTTTTAGGCATACCGTTATGCGGACGGACATGCGTTCAATGGGTTATATAGATAGAAGATAATATAATACTGTACTGTATTATATATTATAAATTGTTATTTGACAAGCACCTTTAAAGACAAATTCTTTGATGCCATTTATATTACATGAAAGTCAATTCGTGTAATGTGTATTAACTACTTTGATTTAAATTCAACTGTGGTGGATATCAAAAAATTGTAGTAGTACAGTAGCGTACCGTCATTGGAAGCGGTATATGCGCCGCTTCCCTTGTATTTTCTAAAAAATAAATACATATTAATTTTAATTATATGAAAATAATCGCACAATATTTTATTATAACCGCATTTATCTATCTTATTACAAATTTCTATACTACACTTGAAAAAAAAAAGATCGCTATTGTATATTCGAATGTTAGTGGCGGTGTGGAAGCGCTGTATCGTCAGCATCCAAAAAGCCAGATTCACGCATCCGCTTTACAGAGCACCAACCTCACACGGTTTAGCTGGTGGAAGCCTAGGGCCTTGGGTGGATGCTGCACGTATACAGCCGGATGCATACATGCGGGGCGGCAGGATGACGTCACTTTCTCTCGCCACAGAAGTCGATTTTGTTCCGCTTTTCTCGTTCTGCAAAAGTTGGTTGAATTCTATCTTTTGTGGTGACCGCCGCCAAGACGCGTTTCTATCAGCCAATAACAGTTCGTCCGGTAGTCACGTGAGAAAATACAATCGCATGGTGTTTTAATGGCGGAAAGTTCGACGTGGTTAACAGAGATAACTAACATCAGAATAAAGAGGAAAGGATAATAAATTTAACACAAATTCTACACAAATAATCATATATAATTTAATTCAAAGAACAAAACAACTGAATCTTACTCGAAATATTATTCTTTATCGAGGAATCAGCGTATTTTGTACACCAGTTCTTTATCGAAGAACTGGTGTACAAAATCCAAGAAAATCTAATGCAAAATCTTCTAAATAAAGCAAGCCGTACAAAAATACAAAACAAAATTTGTAAACACATGGATAGCGACAATATCGTTATCGTTTGCCATCTTGAATACCGAACGCATGAGCCGAAATGTAAGCAGATTGCCGCTTGTGTGGCTGTGCTGCCGCACGGCGAAGATGAGTTTGCGACACAGCTTTTCCTTGCCGCGCCGCATGTGTGCATCCGGCTTACCGCATCCAATTCTATCCAGGACTGGTTCTGGGCTGTTAGCCGCTTGCCTGCTATGTATTTGGCCACCCTTGCCCGATTACGTGAATCGCGAGATTTATATAACTTAACCCAACTGATAAGAATTTACTGGTACGTTTTTATGAGTTCTGTATAGTTGAGTTTAAAAAAATCCATTAAAATATTTGATATTTTTATTCCGCTCTCCGATTTCATATTACTCACGGATTTCAATGTTAACCCAGTGATATTACGATTTCGTATGTCCCATCTTTAAGGGGATGTAGAAAAAAAGTGTACAATTCTTGTATAATGTTAAAAAATTAACTGTTACTTTGACAGCATCATTTACAACTATATTTAATGAATGAGAGAGATGCACGAGGTACAGAAAAAGCTCTAGAATTTATTTTCCTTAAATTTACGATTTATGTATCCGTTTGTCATAAAAATTTGTCTTTCCACTTTTTTCCCTAGACTACAAATATTCGAGTACAAAGTAACCGGTTTCGACTTATTTCTACTTAAGAAATAGTTAAGAGATTAGGGAATTGGGGACATAAATAAAACCCTGCTGAAAGAGCCGGAATATTACTTAAAAGCTTAACGGAACCATCTCAGTGGGGACTGATTTCTTCATATTATTAATGTAATAAAGACAAATTTTTCCAGTTCAATGAGAGTGACCGAAAAGTTTTAAATTTTGGAAATTTCCGTGGACACCCAGTCCTAAAACAAATTAGTTAAACTTAATAGTCATTTGTTTTCTAACATATTTAGACTTTTACAGCTATGGTGAGAAACGTTTATAATCTACAACAGCCCTGTCGTGTCCTTTGAGATATACTAGTGGCGCGACAAAAGAGGTATTTGACATTGACCGGTATTGGCACCCTGGGGATTTGGCAGTCCGCGTGTATGCACGCTTTGCAACCGTCTTCGATTCCATCCATTAGCCACTTGTAGGAAGCTATTTGACTACATACATTGTTTTAAGATTTAAAAAGTAAAGAATATTTTATATTTTTATGTATGTTTCTTTACAAAGCTATATTTAATTATAATTTTCTTTAAAAGTATATTCATACAATTGAAGAATATTTTGTACCAGGTATATAACGGTACATCCACCACACATTTTATTTCACTGAGTAAGTTTTTATTATTTTATTTTTAGTTGTAGCCCTTATATTGTGGCTAGCGATTCAGAATGTAATTGTGATATTAAAAATGCATTTAGAGAAGTCTACGGTTTTTACTGGCTTATCGAATAAATGATACGAATGGACCCTAGACCATCACTGACGTGCAATTGACTGATTGTCCCTGGATGTCGGCTTCTTACAGAAACACAGCTTCCCTATCATAAAATGTCACGGCATGCCACTGTAGTAGTATCTTCCCTGCACATGCATTGAAAACTAATTTAAATAGCAACATCAGCGATGATTTGTGTCATGACATCTAATGACAGAGGCAATCTCGGCAATGTTAACTTCTGAATTGTAACATGTTTGGCAAGTTTGAACTTATGTTCATGAACTGAGCTTTGACTGTGTAGAAAAACATTTCAACATTTGAAATGGTAGCTTTTTAAAATGCGTACCAGTGTCATGATTTCCACAGCTGCTCCAGAGGAGCAAAATGAGTTGGTTCTATTTCCGTTCTAGTAATTTTCTGTGGGTTATCCAAATGAAATTATGGTAAATTTATCAAAAATAAACACTGTACTTTTTTTAACAGCTTATTTACTTATAGTACAATCTTTTATAATAACCTAACAATATACAAAATTACATTATTATTTTCTTTTAATAAATTATATAAAATATAATCCTATAAATTATTATTCTTACAACAATATACAATATTACCATTTATAAAACTAAAATAATTGGCTAAAAGTTATGATGCTATAATTGTTAATATATACAGTTTTAAAGTTTTTTTCTTTTTTCCTATTAAAAACTTTTTAAAATGTAACATATGTGATGATACATAATCAAAACAAGTCTGATATTTTTTATAAAATAAATAAGGCATTGAAATTAAAAATCAACTTTTATAATACAAAACCATCAAAATTTGAGAATTTCAAATGTGTCTGATGCATTTTCTTTATATTTCTTCTTGGGTGACGATAAAAGGCCTCTAGAATTCTGAAAAATAAAGAGCAAAAATAATTTAAATTATTGATTCAATTATATAAAAATATGTATATATATATATCTCAATAATAATTAACTACTATTATTATTATTAATCAAAACATATAGTTTGATAAATAATAATAATAATATAATAGAATATTAACATTTCTTTTTGAGGAGGAGAAGACATTTTCAATTACAAATTTTGAAATGAAATATACATGCTTATTTAAATAGAATTACAGTATATCAAATTTTAATTAAGCCAATAGGAATGTGAGGATGGCTGAAACAATGAAAAACATTATCTTGCCATAATCCAGTTGTGCTTATATGATTGGTATTATACATGATTAAACTTCCTGTCATGCTGCATGAGTTGCTAAAACACTGAAACAGAAAAAAATCCAGCAACAAGTTGCTTAACTTCCCCAGCAACATTTTAGGCACCATCTATTACAATATTTTATTAAAAATAACTTTTTGTATTTTAATTATTATAAAACTGACAAAAAACTTAATTTTGAGGGTAGGGATGGATTTTATAAAAAATTGTAACTGCTAATAACAAGTAAAATTGTCATGAAGTTAGACCCTACTTGAGATATGACACGATCCTCTATCTCTCCACCTCCTCGACCTTTAACTACCAAAATTTAATAGCATCAATCCCCCAATACACAAACTTCCCTGCAAAATTTCAGAAAATTTCAACAAAAAAGCACAGGAATTATTAAGCTTCAACAAGGGTGAACAAAATCGTGCCACACACACACTAACATCCATACATAGAAAAAAAACCCCAAATTTTTTTTGCATTTCTTGACGTTTCAAGTTCCTGAGTCCAAAAATGTAAAAATCTTGAGGGGGGTCATTTATTGACTGATAACTTTTCCTCTATATAACAGCCAGAAAAGTAAAAATAGACTTTCCAATTGTAGAGAACAGTTATATGATTTTAGATAAAATTTTATTTTTATAAAAACAGGCTTCAAAGATTTCAATGACCAAAAGAAGAATATTTTCATATATTAAACTTACTGTTATTTGTCAATTTTTAATTAGTACAGTATTTATCAATGGAAGTAAATGACTAATATCTAACAGCTTTTTCAATAAAATTATAAAAATATTGTAAAAATGTTGGTCATATATTAAATTAAAATAGCAAAGTAACAAGAGGCATCTAAATCATCATTCTAGATGCCTAAAAAGAAAGGTTAGAAGACGTTGAAGCTCTGTGTGAAATGGTCTTCATAATGTAACTGATTATACAGATTGTTACATTATATGATGTTTTAATTTAAATTTTCAAATTTTCATTTGATTTCATTTATTTAAATTAATAGTGTTAAGGTAGCATCATCAAATTATATCTAATTGTATTGTCCACAGGATGTATGAGGAATAATGCAATCACAAAAATAAAACAAGTAAAACAGCAAAACCGTGTTTGGGACAAGACTATGTCTCAGAGACTCACTACTAAGCGGAATCACTTTCACAATCAAGGCAACTCTCATTCTCTAATCTTCTTTGGTATTGCTACTTTTGGGCACGATTGTTCAAACTTCACCGGCCACAATGCATTTTCGATGAAATTAGCCTATCCAATTTTGAAATTTCTCTTTGTTGCATGTCGGCCCGGGTTGAATTTTTATCGATGTATAACAAAAATTTCCCATTTTTGAAAAAAATAATCATGGCTATTGTATCGTCCAAAATTATTTTTTTATTTTGCACAAACGATATACAGTTTAACCCAATTATAACGTCATCGGATCTAATGACAACCCTAATATAATGTCAAATTTTTATTGGTCCCACGATTTTACTATACTAGATAATGTTAAAAAACCCACTTGTAATGACATAAAACCGTTTTAATGTCATATTTGAAGCACTCCAAATTTACAAAATTAGATTACAAATTTAACATAGAAGAAACTGTGTGTTCAGTCCTAAGGTCAGAGTTCACTTCTTAGAATGACTGCGGGTGGTACTCTCCCCCACCTGACTTCGATGGGGTGAGGTGCCTGTTTTGCCTGTTTGTAGAAGAGGGTCGCCATTTTGTATTTTATTTTGACTTGGTTCTTGGTCCCCTGACTACCTACAAGTCTGGATTTTTTTTATGTGCAAATGATTTGGGCACCTAATACTCTGTGCCAAATATCAACTCTCGACATGTACTCTTTCATACCTCTATGCCTGTAACATAAAACAGCAGTACGATTTTATAAACAAGACATAGTCTTGTCAATACAATAATATTCAAATTAAGATAGCTGCTTGCAAATTGTTAGAGCATGATTGTTTGCATAAATCATACATCAATATTTTTTGCAAAAATGTAATCATGTAATTTGAATATCAATTTTCTATTATTTATACTAATTACTTATTGTGAAAAAAAAAATAAGTACCATAAGTTTCCTAGCAACTTGAATTGCTGGTGGTGTAAATGAATCCCCATACTGAGTATTATGCATCATCGGTGTTCCACCTGGACTTCTAAAAATAAAAAAGAAAATAGAGATTATTATTAAATTGTTTAAACTTTAAACACAATGTATTTTTTGAACAATAACAAGGATTATATACAATAATCAAAATTAGAGATCCAAATTTATTGATAAATATCATTAATTTGGATTTAGGTAAATTGGATACTACATAGCATACTTGCTAGCACAAAGCTCTAAAATTTAGACCCTTGTGCTAAGTGGTTCTCAAAGTGGGTGCTACCACCTCTATGGATGCTTAGTAAATCTAGGGGTGCTGGAGGCATGGTACTAAACAGTGAACATAGGTAAATGTTGGAGATCACTGACAGCCTTTCGCTTTCCTCTGTTAAAACAGGTAAGAAGAAATGTTGTATTGCATTTAATGGTTTCCAATGCACAGAACAATCATGGTAAGGACACAAAATGTGAGGTTCATAAAAAAGTTCTCCTAAGAATACTTCCAAGTCTTTCTCACACAAAGGAAAATGGATTAGGGAACATTGGGTATAACTTTATGGAACTAAGGGGACAGTAGCTCAAAAAAGTTTGGAAATCACTGGTCTAAATTATTCAAGCTCTGGCTGCTAGCATAATTGCAAATAGTGTTGATAAGCAAAAGAGGGAAAAAAACAGTTTCCTCAAAATAGCATTAGTCCTCTTTTCTGCAGTTTTATCATTTCTATTAGTTTAACAATATATTCAGTATTTTATTTGTTTAGGTTTCTTTATGAAAATTACCAGTATAATAAAATATAATTCATATGATAATTTGTCTTTTCAATAATTGATATGTACAATGCATATACAGGGGTCCATAAAGTCCATGTGCAATTTAAAAAATTTATAACTTTATTAGTATTTGTGATAAAAAAGAATCTATACAAGTATTAGAAAGCTTAATGTACCTAGTTTTAAGTAAAATTATTTAGTAACAAATGTTTTTAGAAACTGGAAAAAGTGGACCATTTTCTTGGTCTCCATGTTCACCAGACTTTACTCCATTTGATTTTTTTTAATGAGAAAATGTGAAAACAATAGTATATGCAATAAAACCTCAATCATTAGAAGACTTGAAAACTAAAATGACCAATGTTGATTCAGTAAATGTCTCTTCAATCCGAAAAAAATTCTTTTCGGTAGACTACCTCACAGACTGGCTGTGAGGTAGTCTACCAAAAAGAATTTTTCTCGGATTGAAGAGACATTTACTGAATCAACATTACAAACAGCTAAACTATCGGAAAATTCAGAATAAAATGACCAATTTGATTTCAAGAATTACTGTAAATCATATGTTTTTAGAGAACTACAAAATCATATTACCCTTTGTATTACTAATAACGATGGACGTGTGGAAACTTAATAAAATAAAAAAAATATAGATTTTCTTATTTCCAATACATTCTACAAACTTTCTCTATCACAAATACTAATACAGTTATACATTTTTTAAATTACACACGGACTTTATGGACATCCTGTATTTAATTCTCTTATTCCAATGAAGCATGACAATACAAAGCCTTTAATTATTAAATGCTTTAATACCATTCACAATAATACTTTTTCCACCACCTTCATTTAAGATTTAAGAAGTTGAGAGAGAGAGTGAGAGAGAGAGTACAGTGAAACCCCGGTTAACAAATGTTTTGGTTAACGACCAAATCGGTTAACGAACTTTTATTTTGCAAAAATTTTGTCTCGGATAACGAACTTAATGGCTTTTTGTGTCAAATTTATAAACTTGCCGACTTTTAGGGAAAATCAGTTAATCATGTGTCAGTGATGGTCTAGGGTCCATTCGTACGTTGGTGGTGGCGGAGGAGACAAAGATGACAAGTATTTTACAGTGAAAATCGTTTATTAGAACGGGAAGAAGCTTACATATTTGAGGTAGTTGGAAATGGCTTATCTACAGTATTTTCTCTCGACACTGAGGAGTGGTGTATCGCTGGTTCTACGATAATGCAAGCTGATCAGTCATAGCCCCAGAGCAGACAAGATGGGTTCGCTTGGTCACAGAAGCGATGGTAGGCGACAGAGCAACGACTGGAGCGGTCCGCAAGACACAACACAAATTTTAGCGGGCACGATTTCAGGCTTAATCCAGATGAAGACGACACAGATTAATTGCCATAGAATTTTTAGGAAAACTGCATTTTGACCTTGAGATTCGGGGTTTTTATAGTATTTCTTCCTTGAATCTCACCTTACGATTAGTCCTGCGTCCCATTCCTCACTTCCCGATTGTTTTCTTCTTTGTTTCCAGGTGAAAACTGAAACCAGATCAGATCATGAGAAAGGTTTGTTCCGGGGTGTTTATTTGACACCTGTTCGTCACTCTGATCAGAGATTGTTGATAAACCTATAAGCCTTTCACTCATAATTTAGCCTATTGTTTCTGCTATCTGTCATTTTAGAACTTTAACGATCGTATGTGATGTTTTTATACTCGTCAAATCTTTCCCCTTTTCCGAAAATTTAATCTAGATCAACTGTTTGTGAGCACATTTTCCTATATTTTCATTAAAGAAAACCCATTTTACAAATAAAATTACAAAAATACTGACGGCTAGAATGGATTAATTGTATTTGCATTAATTTCTATGGGAAAAATTGCTTCGGTTAATGAATGGACTCGTGGAACAGATTACGTTCGTTAACTGGGGTTCCACTGTATAAAACAGAAAACATGCGCAGATCAGTTCTGACGGTCTAGCTTTACTTTACGAATTTTGCTTTACTTAAGAAATGCTATAAACTTAAGAAACTCCCAAAATAAAAAATAAATTAATGCACACATTCAAATTATTCACAATAATAAATTTAAAAAACTTACTTATTAATATTCAGTTGTTTCAGTATGGTTCGAAAATTTAAATTTTTTCGTTCCTCCTTATTTTGTGTAGCACTATGAAAGAATTTCATTAATAATTTTATTGTGAAAATTATTAAGCATAATTAAGAAAATTAACAGATTGCTGTATATGTGTGTATATGTATATATACTACACACACACATATATATACTTAGTCAGGCAAGTCTAACTACATATATAACATACAAATTGTCTATATATAACTTGCAATATAATACAAGAAATTCCATTAATTCAAACTCGGATAGTTCAAAATCCTGTTAGTTCATAACTGTATTTTCATCCTGACCAGGGATATAAAGATTTACAAGTTAAGAAATTCAGTTAGTTTGAAATAAGGCTACACAATTTGAAGTTAAAATTCTGTCCAATATGCATACATTAACTCATTTGTTTAGACTGACATGCCTCCATACTGTAAGAAAACAATACATCAAGAATAACTCTAATCTAGTCAATAAGACACTGCTTTTACAGTAATACATTTTTGGGTGATGGACTAACCTTTTTTTTTTTTTTTTCTCTTATCTCATAAAATACAGCTGGGTTTTGGGATTACAAGATTGAGCTACGAATAGTAAATTGAGATATTTGTAGGCTCTATGCTTTTGTATTTGGGCAACTTACTAGTTTTTGGACCACTTTAAAAATAATCTAGGCTACATTTCAAGGAATTTTGCTTTACTTTTCGTAAAATATTTCAACATATGAGGTTGTCACCAGACACATACTGTTACCTGCAGTTTATTTATATTTTTATTATTAATTATTAAAAATAGCATTTTGTATACATAGCCATATTCCATTTGCTTCTAACTTTTAAATTACATCAGTTATGTAATATTTGGCATATTGTACAGAAATACAGTAGACCCCCCCTATAACACGGGTTCGTATATCATGGCGAAAAAATTGCAATCATGTTCATATAACATAGTAAAATGTTGTTGCCAATTTTTATCGCAACAGGATTGGTTGAATCTGGACCAATAACGGATATTGTACAAACCATTGAGTTTAAACGAGCAGCGGACCTACTAAAAACCATTTATTTAACGCCCATAAAAATTATATTTATATTAATGATGTCTCCAAAGTTCAAATTTTTTGCAGAAAAATAACTTATCAGGAAACACGCGACGAGTTGCTCCACGACGAAAACAAGCTTAAGCAATGGCATCTTGAACGGTGAACACTCAGTAAGTAATCCTACAATTTTTTGTTTAGAGCATAGTTTATACGGATTATTCCCCAAAAAATTATATGAGTTTTGGAAATGTTGAGTTGAATTAGTCTAGAATTGGTTAATTTTATGGAAGAAAACCTTTCAAACAGCCGTAGCTCCTAAACTGCACACATGCCAGGCTGTGATTGGCTCATGTATTTAAGTGATTCATACAACACGGAATGTATCTACCATGTTATAGGGGGTCTACTGTATATAAATCTTGGATCATTCAAAACTCGATAATTTGAAGAAATCGTAATTATTTTCTCTCTTCAATTTTGAACTAATGAGGATTTCCTGTATATGTATGTATGTATATATATATATATATGTGTATATATATATATATATGCATATACATACACACATACAAATTATGTACAATTATATATATAACAATTATAACTTAAAGTATTTATTTATTTAATATCAGTATTGAAATAACGTTCAATTGAAATTTCTCAGATAAAATAATTTAAAACTATTATTTTAAGAAAAATACATCAAACAATTTANTTATTATATATTAATTTATTAAAAGTATAAATTTAACTTTTATGTAAAAAGTACAGAAGTTTAAAAAAAAAATAGATTTTTCTCAAATGGAAAAATAAAAAGTAAAAAATGTTTGGAAACAAAAACAAGTTAAAATTTGTAAATTATGTTTTAAGTAATAAATTAAAAAAGAAATACTACTGTTACATTCTTTGTTATAACTTTAAATTTATATTGAAGTATTGAAAAACAAAATTATATTTCCTTAAATTCTAAAAAAAAACCAATTTTATGGCATGATCAACTCTTTCCAAAGAATTGTTAAGAATCATCAGTAGAGAGAAACTTAAAATATAAAATCACATTTATGAGCATTCAGAAAATAGATTACAGAAGAATTTAGGTTATAGATACAGAATTCTCCTAATGGAAAAACAATGCAATTTTCATGCTGTCATTCAGAAATTAAACATGCATAAAATTCAATTCACAGAATTATTAATACAGCAATTATCTGATTAAATCAAACATTTTGAAAATTATTATAGATGATTACAAATATTAGTTGATGTTAATAAATATATTGATAAAATATCAAATTAATATATTAAACAATTAAATGAAACCATTAAAATGTGGCGCACATAAAAACAATCTATTCAGTTAAACAGGACAATATTCTAAACTATAAAAAAAATACTAAACATCTACACAATGATGAGAACAAAAATCTTTAGGATATTTCATGGTTATTAAGATAAGTTTTTAAATGTTTCTAATAAAGGAAACTAAACTTTTGAAAACCTTCAAATGCTTTAAAAATATAACAGCAAATGCTTTCAATTAATAGCAATGTTGCGGCAGACGTTGAAAATGTCTGCCGCAACATTGCTATTAATTGTATTAAAGACGTTGAAAACGTGTATGTTGGATGTTCAGCGCCGCCTTCTTGTAAACTTAGAAGTTTGACAATGGCATTTAGAACGTCAGTGCAATCATGCTCAATGTTCCAAATGCCATTGTCAAACTTCTAAGCTTACAGGAAAGCAGTGCTGAACATCCGAAACCTCTCTAATTTTATTGTAAATTAATAGCTTTTAGTATATACAGGGTTTGTCCAATAAGTAACGGGACTGATTTTTTTCTGCCAATTGGAAGAGATGGAGGGTGGTCTCTATGAGCAGGACTGGTGATGGGGGATGTCACTTAAGCTACCAGACCAGGCTCAGTTGTCTCTGAGCTTTTGGAGTGTGTAGATCACACCTGAAGTGAAAATGTGCTTAGTGTTCGCATCAAGAGTCAAGATACAGCAAACCATTAAGCAGCGTTTTGCCATCAAATTTTGCATTAAATTGAACAAATCTGCTATGAAGACTTTTGATATGATCCATAAGGCTTACAAGGACAAAGCCATGTCCAGAACATATGTTTTTGAGTGACAAACAATTCAAAGATGGCCGGAAAGACGTTGAAGATGAACAACGTGCTGGACATCCTACAACAACCCAAACTGATAAAAATGTAGCCAAAGTGCAAGAACTTTTGAACTCTGATCACTGGTTAAGTATTCGTTTGAGGATTAGGGTTTGCCGCATCCAAAGAGAGATCACTCATACTTGGATGCTCCATCACGACAATGTGCCCAGTCACATGTAGCAAATTGTGAGGGAGGTACTGGCCAAATATGTGTCAAAGCTACCTAACTTCCCTACAATCCAGATGTGACTCCCCCTAACTTCTTTTCATTCCCTCAGATCAAAAGAAGCCTGAAGGACATCATTTCAGGACAATTGAGGCCATCCAAGTGACTTCGACAGGATGCATGAACATCCTTGCGGTTGCCAACTTCTAGGAGACGTATAAAGACTGGAAAAAGCACTGGCAGCAGTGTATTGATGCAGGAGGATCATATTTTGAAGATTATTAACTTACTGTACATATATCTTCAACAAATTTCTTTTTACAACTTCAGTTCCGATACTTATTGGACAAACCCTATAATTATTATATTAACAATACACGTTATGATGTTATCATAACTCTTATTGCCATTTTATGTAGAATGAAATAGTTTAGTATTTGAATGATCTTAAAACAAACTATAAATCAATTTCATTCATTATCAACTAAAGATTCCACTTTTATAATTTAATTATACATTAATAAAAAAATTCAATAATTGCTCTTACTTTAATATTAAATACAGTAAAAAAGTTCCACCATGATAAATCCTATTGATCAATAATCTGATAAAAGCATCTGATGATTTAACAACTTAACTGCAAAATAATAATGTAACTATAAATGAAACAACAACAAAATTTTTTGAAATTCTTAAACCAGGGCTCAACAAACTTTTCCTTCATCAAAGCACCAGCTTCAATCTAGATTATGGTATTAAGTATAATAATAAATGTAATATGCAATGTGCTATATAACGGAGCAAATAAGTTCACATAAAATTTCAAATACTATGGTGACCTGACAATTGAGATTTGTCAAGCCCTGTCTCTATGTCATCACATTATTTAGTGGCAATGTTAACATTTAAATATAAAATTTAATGAAAAAATTATTTAAGTTAATTAAATTCTAATATACAGTGATACCTTGTACTTCAAATGCAAAAGTCAAAAAAAATTCACCTCATATTTCAAATGATGTTTCAAAGTTCGAACTATGCGCACAGTGTAAAAATGTGCTGGAAGCATAAATGAAAACTCTTATGCGTCCAAGCCATCTCTTGCTCTTGCATTATGCTTGTATGGTTTCAGTGCACTTCTTACTTTAATTTTGATATTTGGTTATATATACTGTATTGTGTTATTTGTCAATTTTTAACAATTTCTTCCTGCAATTTTTAATTGTCAATAGTTTTTGAGTACCCTATATGTTTTGTATCATTTAGTTTAAAATTTTCCAAATAGTATTTTTTAAACCACATTTGACATGTTCAAAATTTAGGAGCATCTTCCCTATACACATTATAATTGTATTTACTGTTTGTAGAGTGTTATATCCTATTCAAAAGTAATAAAGAATAATATGCCTAATAGGCTTTTTATCCAAATACATCTCAGCTTGATTTTATTCAAATTAAGTGTGAAGTAAGCTTTTAAAGCAAGATTCTAAACAAAGAATAAAATTTCACATTATCTATATGTTAAATTTTACAACTGTTATAATTAAATCACACATCTATGTTAAGATGTGGTAGTCCATATTGCTGACCAATAAATGCAGTTTTTCACTTTATTATACAGTATTTATGTATTTTATTTATGGTTTTTGTGTTTTAGTTTATTATTAAGGCATTTAATTAGGTTATTTTTATCCTCAATTATTTGTATTTGTTGTTTTAAGTTTATCAAAATGCATACTCTTTGGGGTCTGGAAATGGATTATTCACTTTCCATTATTTCTAATAGGAAAAAGTTGATTCGGACTTCAAATGATTCAGAGTTTGAATGATCTCCTGGAATGAATTAAATTCAAAATACAAGGCACCACTGTACTAATTTTTCAGTGACTTAAGTTCTATATTTTATTTTTCAAATCAAGTTATAGGAAAAATAATATCTCTTCTAAAAAAAATAAGGAAACTACAGAAACTAACATCCATATTTGAAATAGTAAATAAATTAAATAAATATTAAAAAAAACATTTTTTGTAAAGAAAAAGTATATCTTCATAACTTCCAAAGAGGTCTAAAAAGTAAAAATTTATCTATTATATACAGCTGATATTTAAGTTTTCCGACAACAATGATATAATTGGTAGTAGCACAGAATTTTGAAGCTACAAGCAGATCTTGAAATAGAGCTCAAAATCAAACATTTATACTATTTCTAGAAAAATATTGAAGTAATTTTGCTCAAAATAATTGAGTTATCTTGAGAGTTATAATAATAATTTATAATTTATTATATTAGGGAACTCTGAATGCATTTAGTAGTCCAACCTCAGCATTATGCACTGTTTTATAATGCTTTCCACATCTGCATTGCAATTTATAGTATGTCCTTATATAAAACAACTTTAGTTTTATAATTATAAATTATAATTACACTGAAGCATTGGAAAATCCAGATTTGGCTGTCAAAAATTGAATATTAACCCCCTTCAAATGGTAACTTTGTTATTGATATTCTTTCAGCTTTGCATTGTTGATGTTTAGCATTCAATTGGAATTTTTTAATTTTGAAATATCAATTAATTAGCATATTTTTTAAATATAGTGATAGTTTTTTAAATATTGTTTAAATATAGTGATTCTGTAAATTATATTTTGGATCTTTGAAAATATTCCTACATTCCTTGTGAGATACTGACTTGAACTTTGATCCAAACTTAATTTACAATGTATTTGAAGTTAAAGTGCCTAAAATGCTAATTTATATGTATATTTGAAAATTGGATGGATCTGGCCCCAATTAGTGTGGATTTGATGCTTCACAGTAGCTTAATAAAATAACAAAATAAAATGATGTAATTTAAAATAATGCATAGTAAATTATTAATAACAATAATTAAAAAATAGGTATAAAGTATTTAAATAATTGGATGCCATGGTGTTCTGTGAAGTATTGAGAATTTAACTTTGGCACTTCAATGTCCAAAATATTTTTACATTCTTAGATTTATGGTAACATATTCAATATCCTCTTTTGATTAACTTCAATTTACTATGAAAACTCTTTTTTGTATTCAAACATTTCATATCAATGAGTGAGAGGGAGAGAGAGAGACCAATGTTGTTTTATTATATTAGATTTTAAAAAATTTATTTCTTTGGCATTTTATGAAAAAAAATCATACCACCTAAACCACTGAGTGTGGTTTAGATGGTATGATTCCACTACTTCCAACATATTCAGGAGATCCCAACAGTCTACGCATAATTGACTTCTTTGATTCACTAACAGATGTTACTAGATTTGCAGTATGGTCAAAATCACAGATGCTAGCATTAGCAAGGTTAAAGTTGACCTGAATAGCAAGAAAATTCACCAGAAAAGATAAATGAATAAAAGATGTAGAAGATTTCACAGTTTTCAAAAAGATCATGATAGAGCATTTCAATAGAGAGTCATATTCGTTGCAATTGCAGAAATTTTATGCATGCATTCAGAGTAGATCAGAAGATGTACAAACTTATGTGGTTAGACTTTGGTCCCTAGTGATAGAGATAGAAATAGAACAACTAGGCACAGATGCTACAGAGACAACGCTAATACAAAAACTTAAGACTAAAAAACTTGACAAAAGACCCAAAATATAATTTCAAAATGGCATAGACCACAGAATTAGACAGTTATCTGGAGAGAACTTGCTACGTTTGACAAGGTGTTAAAAGTAGCAATCAGCAAGGAGACAATAGAGTGGTTGATAAATAGGAGATGGGACACCATTGCACAAATTGAAAAAGAAGAAACCGCAGAACAGATGAGCGAAAAATTTAATTCTTGGGATGCAAAAACAAATAGAGTTGAAAAGAGGTCTTTGAGCAAGTAGGAGAAATCAGAAGAATTTTAGAGCCCATCAGAACTTTCAGATTCTGCAACGAATGGAATCTTTAATGAAAGGAAATTTGAACTTCTGTCAGAACAGATTTAGATCAAATATACATTGATGGTGAATAGATAGGGTCACACACAAATTTAGCAATGATAGAAATTTCCTCCCAACACAAAGGTAACAAACAATTTAGAAAAAAAGGTAACAAACAATTTAGCCAACCAAGAATAAACATACAAAGTCCCAAAGGAAATTGAAACATAGATGGTAGAAAGAAATATGAAAACAACAAAAAGAGAGAAACTCGAAATTCAAAAGGAGAGTAAGGAAAGAAAAAGGAGATAATCAGTAGTACAGATTCTGGAAGACCAGTAATAAGATGTGTGAAGCCCCAAAAATGAGCTGAAATTAAATAATTATTATTAGAAATTTATTAAAACGAAACTAGAAGAAAAATCGTCTATTGTTAAAAACCGATCAAAGATCGAATTAGTTGTGTTAGTCATATGAAACCGCGACGAGAGAAAAAAAAACTTTATTGATGTAAACAGAATGTAATAATTTTGAATGATTAATTAATAATTGTAAACAAACGACCTCCAGTAGAGATGGACCTTTGAAAAGTCGCTCATATGCACATAATTAGAAAATAGAAATTTTGAAAAGAGGAAAGATTAATGTCGAAAAAGGACATCGTGTCGTGTGATTAAATTCCAAAAACGTCACAGACTAGACAACAATGGTGGAAAATATGAGCGCAAGTTTCAAAGTTCCATCAACATTTTGCAGCCAGAATAACGGATGGTGTCAAGTAGATTCTTCAAGGCGAATCTTTCTCGTGACTCGAAAAGGAATCGTTTTTCGCTTAGAAACAGACGAGGGAGCCAATCAGAAAACAAATTAGAGAACGGAGATTGATATAATCCCCGATCTTCAAGGACAGAAGGACTTCTTCCGTAAACTGTGCTACGGAGTACCTGCACTCCAAAAAAGTCCAAAGCGAAAACTCTTTGTGTGTCAACGCACAGAAGACGAAGAGTCCGCACAGTGTCCATTGAGAGAGCCGTGCCGCCGACGCCTACCGACAAGTCTCCTTACCCGCTGCAGCCCAGGGCCCATCTCCGAGTGACGATAGAAAAACATCCTCGACGTTTAAAACTTACGAACATTTAATTGGTTGAGGAACTTTGTGCATAGTGTAAGTTATTTCCTGTTAAATTAAACAGATTTATGTGAGATTCTTGTCATCTGTGTCTCCTCCGCCACACCCACATGCGTTCACCCTAGATCATTCTGACGCGGGATTAACGATTCCCCCCCCGGAAGTCGGCGAACTTACACTGGTGTCCGAGAGTGGGATAAAAAGTTTCCAATCTCCATCAGGTCAGCAAACTTACAGATGTATTCTAGAGGATGAACCTGTAAATTTTGCAATTGACACTAAATCTAAAGTGACATTTCTCACCAAAGATTTTGCTCTCAAATTAAAAGAAAATAGAAAGAAAAACTCTGATAGAGAGCTCCAGTTTCAAAGCGTAACAAGTCATCCATACAAACATATGGAATTTTAGAACTCATATTTGAAATTGGAAGTTTACAATTTTCCTTCCCTTGTTACATAACAGATTAAAAAATTACATTGCATTACAATGGAATATTAGGTAGAGATATGATAGGCAGCAAAGGATTAACAATCGACCTGGTGAAAAATCAGATAATCCTTCCTGATGGAAAAGTTGTACATATGTTCAACTTAGATGAGGTTGACAAACAAGAACAAACTCCAGATAATGAGGAAGATATCATTAGTCAGATTGAAGCAACAAAGAAAATGTTGTCTCAGATCAAAGAGAGCAAAACATCACCACAAGGTAGAAAAACTAGAAAAAGAAAGTCAAGAAGATATGAAACCACAAAAATATTGAAAAACAAAATTCAAAAAAAGCACATAATCACAAATCCAAGTAATTCATG